TTTGAGTATGATACTGGTATGAGAGGGCAAATAAAAGCCGAGATTTATTTGGAATGTACATTGAATCTTCAGGATTCTCCAAATATATAACTTGCACACTTCTACAACTCGAGGAAGCACTGAGGTTCGTTGCACGTGAGACTCTGCTTACATTATCAATGCAGGCGAGGTAGCAAAGTTGATGCGGATTTGAGGGGCTTCAACTTTCATATCGAAGCGGATTACAAGGATTCAGAATTGTGAAGCCAACACATGCTGCCTTAGCCCCACAAGCTTTGTAGCGAAGATTTTGCTTGTGCCAAGGTGAGTACTCGGAACTTTTGTAACGCCCGTCTTCCGCCCATACTCTTGCTCTAGCTTCTGCTTCGGCCTCAGAAAGATGTGTGTGTGTGTGATAGTCACAACACGGACACCCACTGGGAGAGGTATCTTCGGGGCCAGGCTGCTCCGCCCTCTCTTTTGGGCAGGGCCCCTTCCTCGACCTTCAGGTTGATACAGCAAGAAGCACAAACAACGACAGGCTTGCCTGAATGGACGTTAGCTCTGCCAAGTGCAGTCTGGGCATGTCATGGCATGTCTAAGCTCTCCGACGTGGAGAGCCACTGCGACTGCGACCTCGGAGTGTACCCTTGCACCCTACTGAAACTCTGTAAACATGTTGCAAAGGCTGATGCTTGCGCTTGGCCCTTTTCGCCGTGACGGGCGTAAGCTTCTCTCTCCTCAATGAGCAAAGGAAAGCTAGAAATCAATTCAAAAAAGTTTGCAAGTTGAAAACACGAGAGATGTGCCAGCACTCCATGTTGGCAAGTACCAAGCGTCGGCTTCTCTTTTTTCGTCTCGGCGGACTTCGAGACTGGCTGTGTCGAGGGCCTTGTCAAGCAGCCGCCGAATGTCGTTGCGCATGTGTGCATATACCGGTATCATTTTTTTCCAAGCATGTACTCGTGCAGGTCACTTTCAAGCATTGTTGAGAGGCCGGCGTCTTCTGACACTGCGACTCCTGCTGCAAAAAACTGTCGCCATGCTCCGAAGGTATACGAAGGTGCGAAACTGGGTAGGCAACACAATGACGCAGCCTGCTTTTGGGGCGCAGCTTCTCGGCTGCCTGCACCGCAAGCAGGCAGAAGAAGGCAATGTCCTCTCGATTTCTGAAAGTGCCGATGCCTTCTCAGCTGCGAGAGGTAGTTTTGGCATTCTGCAAGCCGAATAAGCCGAGTAAGCGGACGGAGAACGAGAACAAACTATTCAAAGACAAAGCATCCCACCCACCGATGCCTGGCTTGTAGTTTAACTGATTCAACCAACAGAAATGAGCTGTGTCTTCCCCATCTCGAGCTACGTTCTTGCAGCCTTTCCTCAAGTAGCACAATCCCATGCCCCAGCTGCCTTCTCCACATCTTTGCGATATCGCACATTCTCACGCTCAGTTTGCGTCGTCATGAGAACCTCAGACAAGTCGTTGACAGGAGCAGAAAGCTCGCCGGTGACAACTTGCAGAGTCAACATGGCCTTTTTGAAGTTCTCGTTGGGATCCGTCGTAGGTCGATATGTTGGTTTGGGCCTGGGCTTGAAGACGATCACGGACGGCTTGAGTAAAAGGCTGAAGCAACAGCCAATACTAGTTGTCTGACCCAACACAACCCGAAAGCATCACCCGAAAAGGTACCTCTTTTTCCCCTCAGGCAGAAGGCTTCTGGACCCTTTGCTTCGCTCACCTGTTGAGTCCCCAACCCAGCTTTGCTCACAGTCAGCGTCTGTCCATCCAGATTCTTGCCGTCCATTGCCCTGATGCATCTTTCCACGGAGCAAACGGCTTTCTATAAGCAATTCTGATTTCCCCCTGGTCACGTAAGTGGAGACTCGTGGAGAATTGGAACTCTTCTTCGTAAGTCTCTGGCTCCATGGCTTCTTGAGCGTCAGCCTTCTCTGCAAACGCCTCGCAGGTTGGGTTGGTAAAAGGTTCCAGGAGCCAGGCTTGCAGCACCTGCTGAGCTCCGAGCGATGAAAGCCAGGTTGGACTTCGGTGTCTCAATTTGCAGGATGTGCCCTCAGCTATGAGGCTACAAGACTTCGACGTTACATCGTGCGATGGACGGCCACCACTGACCCACAATGAGAGGTCGTTGAAACCGAGTGCAGGCACAGTCGTGTTCGAGGGTGCTCATTGGGTTGAAACCTTTTGTAGTGGCATGACACAGTGGGCCTCCGGGTCTATGTTTCGCGATAAAGTGAAGGGATTTCCCAAGTGAGGCCTGCTTGGATGCTCGTATATACCAAACGTGTAGACAGCAAGATTTAGGATGTGAGTGCTTTGTTATGCACCCTGCAGAGTTTCGGGGCGGTCGACCACTCACCTGTAGTGTTTCGGCACTCATGCTTGCGATGCTCGGCGACATATGATAGGCTTGTAGGGCGTAGGCTTGCCTACCGCGCGCTCTTGGATGTGGCCTTTGCCAGTCTCCAGTCTTCAGGCTCTTGGATAGACCAGCGCCTGCGCTTTAGAGTTTGTGTTCGAAAGTATGACAAATCATTTTCAGGTTAAGTGTTTACTCCCACGTTTCGGCGCTTTCTACCTCCTACCTAGCAAGGACGAAGCATTGCTTTTTTTTGCCTCCCGCCTGGCTAGGACGCATTGCTTTAGGGAGTATGGTTTCGACATTGCTGGCCATTCCCCCAGCGTAGGGCTTGTGCGGTTCGCGCCGCTTGCGGGGTTAGGTTTGAAACACGCTGGAACACACGGTTTTAGACTTTGCCACTCGCACTTTTTCAGATTCTCAGCCTTGAAACTTTCTGGCTTGTGCAGCTTGCTATTTGCCGAAGCCGTCGCTCGGGTTCAGGAATTGGGTGGGTTGCCCCTCTACCGCTTCTGCCGCTCACTCTCGACAAGCCCCCAGGCGAGTTTCGCAATTGGTACTGAACGACGACCAAATCATTGAGTCAAGCAGAGCTCTCAGTGGCCCGTGGCACTCGAAGTTTTGCCACTTACCTACACAAACTCGTGGAACAGCACAGTTCCAGAACAGCTGTCTTCGTCCCCGTGACTCGACATGCAAAGTCACATCCCTGGCCCCTTTCCAATCCAGAGCCCATGTTTGCCCGCGCAAAGCAAAACACGAAGTCGATCCTTTTGTTTCAATTCCCAGACAAGAGTAAGGGGGTACCCGAGATTCGCAGAAAGAAAAAAACCTCTGCACTCATAGCATCTGTGCCAGTACAAAGATCCAAACAGTGAGGTGTCCAAATGGTCTGCACCCGCAAGCGAATTGCTTCTTAGTCATCCCTCGCTCTGCCTGCGGGGCCTGTACTCTTTAAGGTTCCTTCGCAGAATCCAACACCGGTATGGATTAGCCCATCCCCCGAGCACCTCAAATTTCCGTCAACATTTCAATGGATCTCGAAGCCATGAACAATTTCAGGAGTCTGCCAAGACTGTGCAGGAGATTCAGCAAACCCATCGTAGATGGCAGCATCGAGCAACAAACCATGTAGGGATAGTCACAGCCAGATTTCAGCGAGCTGGGTCTTAAGGTTTGCACGTCCCGGCCGTTTGGGCTTGCTGCGCCCGTCTTTTTGGGTCTGAGTGGTTGCTCCCCCCCACAATTGAAGTTTCAGGCTTTGTCACTCCCTTGTTGGGTTTGGCTGTTGCGCAATTCCCTCTCCGGTTCAAAGCTTGCAACTCCTCCTCAGACAAAGGTTCAGGGTTCGAACGATTTGCTATTTCACACCTTTTCGGGTACATTGGGTTTTCGGCCGTTGGACCAGGAATTGTCAGGGTTTTGGGTTTGCAGGCGTCCCGGCGAAGTTTTGAATGTGTGGGCTTTCCCCGACACGACCCAATTCCGCCGCTTTTGAAATCTTTGCTCTTGCCCAACATGGCAACATTTCGGCTCCCAAACCCTTTTGGTTCAGAGTTTGAACAGACTGCTACAACTTTTTTGGCTAAGCCCACGGGCGGTTTGCCGTTCCCGTCTCTCGGGTTCACGGCTTGAGTAACTTTCATGTTCGGCACACAGGCAATTAATCTATTGGACCCGGCATCAGAAGCCACAGACCCAATGCGGTAAGGAATCTACCCGTTCAACATTGTTTCAACCGAAACAGCATAGAATTTACCCGGTTTGCCCTTGTTGGGCGTGTGGTTTGCAACTCTCCACCCTTCGAGATCTCCGATTTTCGGGTTTAGGTCCGAGGGTGTCAGTTCCAGCCCTTGAAATTGCGATTCCCACCGTGTTGGGGTCTCAGTCTTTGGGTGTTAAGTTTGTGCGTCCTGGCCGTTTGGGATTGCTACGCCTTAGGCAAGGACGCGCAACTACTCGTCCAATCAGCCTCCCAGCAAACAGTGCATGTATTGAACCCAAACTCGAAACCCCAGACCCTGTGCCTTCACGGACAACGCTACATACAAGTACCAAGAAAGCCGAGACTTGCACCTCCCCACGCCTTGTTGGGGATTTGTGGCTTGCATATCTCCACGTCCCGGCCCTTTGAGCTTTCTACGCCCGCCCGTTTGCGTCTGAGTGGTTGCTCCCCCCGACCTTTGAAGTTTCAGGCTTTGTCACTCCCTTGCTGGGCTTGGTTGGTGTGCCATTCTTGCTCCTCGCTTCACGTTCAAAAAATTGGGAGCCCAACCATGTTGCGGTTCACGGCTTTTGCGCAGCTTGCCGGCTCAGTCTTTTGCGTGAAAGTTGCACGTCCAGGCCGTTTGGGCTTTCTATGCCCGCCCTTTTGGGTTTGAGTGGTTGCTGCGCCATTCTTTCTCTGGAACCAAACGCTTGCAATTCCTCCCCATACGAAGGTTCAGGGTTGGGAGTTGGGACGAGGTCATTCGTGTTCTGGGGTGTCGGGTTCGCGGATCGCTACTGCCCCTGGCGCGGGCTACGTCTTGAACGTATGGGCTTTCCACTACACGGCGGTTGGCCATTCACCGGATTTGTAACATTTCGTCTCCTGCTGGTCACTTCGCGGGTGTACTTTTTAGGGTTTAGCGCTCGGGCCGGTTTGCAGCTCCTGTCTCCTCCTTCGTTCAGGGCTTAGGTGGAGTGATAGATCTCAGAACAGCCCGTTCGACGGGCTGTACTACCATATTCACTGACATCACACTACAGACCCTCCGATGCAACATCAAAAACCACAGACCCAATGCTGGCCAAGAAAGCCGAGACAAGTTGTAGAGCGTTTGTAGTTTGCACCTCCCCACACCTTGTCGGGCTTGTGGCTCGCAAATCTCCATCCTTCAAGGTCTTCCATTTTGGGGTTTAAGTCCTAGAGGGTGTCAGTTCCAAACAGTTGCCATCCCCACCATGTTGGGGTTCACGACTTTTGCGCAGCTTGCCGCCTCAGTCTTTTGCATGTAAGGGTTGCACTTCCCGGCCCTTGAGCTTGCTGCGCCCGTCCTGTTGGGTCTGAGTGGTTGCACCCCCGGCCTTTGAAGTTTCAGGCTTTGTCACTCCCTTGCTGGGTTTCTTTCTCTGGAACCAAAGGCTTGCAATTCCTCCCCATACGAAGGCTCAGGGTTGGGATGAGGCCATTGGCGGTTCTGGTGTGTCGGGTTCGCAGATCGCTGCTGCCCCTGGCGCCGGTTTCGTCTTGAACGTATGGGCTTTCCACTACACGGCGGTTCGCCATTCCCATTTGTCTAACATTTCAACTCCCGCTGGTCACTTTGGGCGTGCATTTTTAGGGTTTAGCGCTCGGCGATCGGGCCAGTTTGCTGCTCCTGTCTCCTCCTGGGTTTAGGGCTTGGGTGGAGTGATAGATCTCAGAACAGCCTGTTGGAGCTGTATTACCATATGCACGGACATCACACTACAGACCCTCCGATGCAACATCAAAAACCGCAGACCCAATGCTGCCGAGGAAACCACCGTCACGGACCCCGACACATACCAAGAAAGCCGAGACAAGTTGTAGAGCGTTTGTATTTTGTTGCACCGCCACACCTTGTCGGGCTTGTGGCTCGCAAATCTCCATCCTTCAAGGTCTTCCATTTTAGGGTTTAGGTCCTAGAGGTATCAGTTCCAAACAGTTGCCATCCCCACCATGTTGGGGTTCACGACTTTTGCGCAGCTTGCCGCCTCAGTCTTTTGCATGTTAAGGGTTGCACTTCCCGGCCCTTCGAGCTTGCTACGCCCAAAAGTCTGAGTGGGCAATTTGTCACTCCGTTGCTGGGTTTGGTTGGTGTGCCAGTCGTTCTCGGGAACCGAGAACTTGTAACTCCACCCCATACGAGGGTGTAAGGTTCGGACGAAGCCATTCACTGTTCTAAGGTTTGGGATCGCAGTTCGCTGCTGCACCCTTTCCCGGTTGAGTCTTGAACCACTACACGGCCGTTTGTAATTCTCCGGTTTTGCAACATTTTTTTCCCCGCTGCACAAGTTGCTGGTGCCTTTTGCAAGGTTCAGCGCTCGGGCGGTTTGCTCTCCGTCTCTTGAGTTCAGGGCTTGGGTGGGTTGCGAACTCTCATGTTCGGTGCTGCCAAGCAATTCTGCAGAACTGCTCGTCCGACCTGCACTACCATATGCACTAACATCACACTACAGACTCTCCGAGCAAACGCATGTATTGAACTCAACGCCAAAAACAACAGATGCAATGCTGCCGAATACAGCGTTCCATATGCGGTCCATACTAGGAAAGCCGAGACAAATTGTAGCATGTTTGTGGGTTGCACTTCTCCTCGCAAGTCTCCATCCTTCAAGGTCTCCTATCTTAGGGTCTAGGTCACAGAAGAAGGTTTCAGCTCCAAACAATTGCCATCCCCATCATGTTGGGGATTACGATTTGTGAGCAGCTTGCCACCTCAGCCTTCACACTCGGACAAGCCAGGCGAGGTTATTGGTTCGTAGTCGGCTGAAGGTGAAACACCTCCAAGACTGTGCCGATCCAATAACACAACGTCTTCCT